TTCAGCAGACAGATTACTTTGGAAAGTGGATTGCTGCTGACACTGTTAGGTTGAAATTTAACATGTTATTTGTTTCCTCCCTGTCCTGTTTTTCACTTGTTCTAGTTTCTGTTATCTTCTGCTTTCACTTAGACTGAGGTTTTTATATGCTTTATCTTGTTATCATTGTTTGGGTTTGTTGTGTGATTTTCTTTATATAAATTTCAGGATAGGTGAATGTATTGAGACAGTAACTAGTTCCTTAGGGTTATGACAGGGGAGCTTGAGGATTAATGAGGAGCTAATTATATTGGGTATAAGAACGAAACATATATTCTAAAATGGATTGTGGTGATGATTATACAACTTTAAAAAATATATTCAAAATATTGAATTGTATGGTCCATGAATTATATGTCAGGATAACTTCTTTTTTTTTTTTTTTTTAAAGAGCTAGAATACTTATAAGCACCAGCAGTGTTCCTCTTCTCTTTTCTGTGTCCTGACTAGTTTGACAGATAATTTGGGTGTATGAAGGTTACAGATGGACTCTGCAGACTGTTCTGGATTCTGCAGCATTCCAAGGCACTAATGAATACAGGGTACAACTTGAAGGATGGTGAAGATCTGATTTATATATATATATTTTTAGATAATCAAGGATATTTATATCTTTTAATGGGTTGGTGCCTCGGAGTTCTGTTCTGGCATGAAATTGAGAGTCAGAGAGGTCTCCATAATCAGTTTGGTGATATATCAGGGTGTTCTGGCTGGCGTGATAACAAGGGATGACGATGGGTAAAGTGGTCGATGTTTTATACCAGATTATTCTTTATTCATAGAAGAATCTCGTGGCACTGTGGGTTAGTTGTTTAGTTGTTAGCTACAAAGTCAGCACTTTAAACCCACCAGCCACTCTGTGGGAGTAAGATGAGCCTGTCAGCTCTCATCAAGATTTATAGGCTTGGAAACCTGTCCCTGAGAGTCGTAATTCACTTGATGGCGCGGTTAAGGCTTTATTCAAGATGGACTTATTTAAAATGTAGACACAATATGGAGTGTAGCCTCTTCTACACTTTTATTTCATCTAAATTTAGACGTGATATACTCTATATCAGGGGAGCCCTCGTGGCAGAGTGGTTATGCATTGGGCTGCAATCCGCAAGGTCTGCAGTTCGTAACCACCAGCCATTCCTTGGAAAAAGACAGAGCTGGCTACTCCCATAAACAGTTGCAGCCTCAGAAACTCTCAGGCGCAGTTCTACCCTGTCCTGTGGGGTCACTGTAAGTCAGCATCGACTAGATGGCAGTGTGTGGTGATGGTGGTATACCTCGTGCCAATGTGATGTGCCCTGCGTCATATGGAAACAGAGTCCATGAGAGCAGCCTCAGATTTGGGGCTCTCACCTGATTCGCAGAGCCATCCATCGGACAGTTCCTAGCATTGGACCCAGTGGGGGTGATGGAGGCATGGCCACCTACATGATGAGATGGATTTGACTGGTCTGACAGGCGAGAGTGCATTGATTGATGGGATAAAAGGTATGCAGGTGGGAGGTGGAGGAGAGCAAGAGTAGGAAGAGAGTAACTGTGTAAGGTCGTTAAGGACCACACTAATTACTTCTCTTAGACGTGTAAACTGATACAGGGCTGTGAAAATAATGTGAAATGGTGCAAGTTGCATAGGCCTTGGAATTAAATAGACCTAGATTTGAACCCTTGGCTCTACAGTTTGTTTGCTATAGGGTCTTACGTGAGTTGCTTCCCTTCAGTTACCCACTTTTTCTTCATCTGTCACACTGGGGATAATAAACATTCTCCCCCCACGATGTAAATTTCCTATATGAAATTAGACTATCATAAGGGTCCAAGCAGAGCTCCTGGTATACTTGATAGCTCAGTAACTGGGAGACATTAATGTTTCTCCATGTGTCTTATTTGTGTATTCACCAGTATTGATTATTCTTTGTAATTTCTAATTAAGCCTTATGTCAGTATCGATAGCTCTAGTGATGAGGATATGAGACCATGTTGTTGTGATTGTGGGTGCCATTAAATCTGTTCCAACCCATAGTGACCCTATACAAAATATAAAAAAAACACTGCCTGGTCCTAGGCCACTCACAATTGTCATGTGGAGCCCAAGGTTGTAATTAGTTGTGTCAGTTCATCTCACTGCGGCCTTCTTTTTCACTGACCTTCAATATTACTAAGCATGATGTCCTTTGCCAGGGCCTGGTCTCTCCTGATAACATCTCCAAAGTAGATGAGACAAACTCTCGCCATCCTTGCTTCCATGGAACATTCTGGTTGGACTTCTTCTGGCAGACCACAGCACTTTCAGTATTTTCACCAGCACCATAATTTGAATGCACCAATTCTTCTGCAGTCTTCTTATTTATTATTCAACTTGCACAGGCTATGGTGTGATTTCAATAATGTGGCGTGTAGGGCAGGCACACCGCAGTCCTCAGAGTGGTATCACTGCTCTTCAACATTTCAAAGATGGCATGTGCAGCAGAATGCCTGATACAACTTGCACTGGATTTCTTGACTGCTGCTTCTATGAGCAGTGATGATGGATCTGAGCCAGATGAAATTCTGGACACCTTCAGTCTCTTCTCCAGTTGTCATGATGCCCTCTATTGGTCCAGTTGTGAGGATTTTTATTTTCTTTATGTGGAGTTGCAATCCACACTGAAAGCTGTAGTCTGAATTTCATCGACAAATGCTTCAGGTCTCCTTACTCTCAGAGACCAGCTTGTGGCATCTGCACATCAGAGGTTGTTAACGAGCCTTCCTACAAACCTGACGCTGCAGTCTTCTTCTAGTCCACCTTCTTGGATTGTTTCCTTGGCAGCAAAATTAAATAGTAAGGATTGTTTCCTCAGCATGCAAATTAAACAAGGATGGTGAAAGGCCAAAACCCCGATGCACAATTCCTGATTTTAAATCACACAGTTCTGTTTCTGCTTAGATAGTTAAAAGTTAATAGTGATGGAAAAATAGCATCAACATAGGAATTTCTGGGTGTGGCATATAATAATAATAATAATAGTATAGCTACCCTCTATTGATCTCTAAATATATTGGGTGCTATGGTAAAAGCTCTACATAAACTCACTTAATCTTTTTCTATGAGGCAGGCATTATTTTTTATATCCATTTGCTTGACAGGAAGGCGGAGGCTTAGAAAGACTGTAGCATCCCAAGGTGACGTAGCTAGGGGCAGTAAGAAGCCCAGGTGAGAGCAGTTGTAATGGTCTGGACAACGAGGCCGTCTTTAATATTAGCCTTCTCTTCACAGATCCTTCCTTCCTTCCTGTATCAATCTTTCTAGATCTGGTTTTGCTACGGGAGCTACAATTCCCCAAATATTGATAGCTTCAGATAAATAGTAAGAATTAAACGTTATGCATGCTGCGTATTCATCACAGGTCAGCTGGGATCTCTGTGCCATAGGTCCTCACTCCAGGACCCAGGAGCCCCAGGCAGAGTGGCCTCCATCTCGGTCCTCTCTGGTTTCCGTGGGAGAAAGAGAGCGAGAGGGAGCCAGCAAGCTGGGAGAATCGTTGGCTCCTGATTAAATACTCTGGCCTGGAAGTGGCACACAACAACACTTCCATCTGCATATCACAGACTCGCGCTGTGGTTTATACTGAGGGTGATGTTGCTCCCCAGGTGACAGTAACAATATCCAGCTATATTTTTGGCCACTACAACCTGAGCGGAGGGGATGGGACATGCTACTAGTATCTATGGGTACAGGTTAGGAAGGTTGCTAAACAGCATCTCCCCTCACTATGACCCCCCCCACCCCAACAAGGAAGTATCAGGTCCAATATGTTAGCAGAGCCATGGTTGAGAAACCCTGAACTGGAGCTAGTCACATGGCTTCTCCGAAACACCAGGCCCCAGAAAGTTCACCTTTATGATGCTGTCATGAAGAGTCCCCGTGATGCAGTGGTTAAGCACTTGGCCGCGAACTGAAAGGTCAGCAGTTCAAGTCTATCAGCAGTGCTTTGTAGGAGACGGAAGGGGCCGTCTGCTTCTGTAGAGGTTTCAGCCTTGGAAACACTATGGTGCAGTTCTGCTTTGTCCCCCAGGGTCACTAGGAGCTGGAATTAACTCAGGGGCAGTGGGCTTGGGTGGTGTTTGTTTGTTTCTGGTTAAGGAGGGAGAACTTGACTTGACAAATAACCATGAACATCCATACATCTTCAGACCTTACAGCTCTTGGAAGGTCCTTCCGAAGATGTCCGTGATGGAAACTGACTAATAATCTGAGGGTCTGCTAATGCAGCTCGTTTCAGATTAGGGGGCAGATTATCCCTCTGCTGCCCCTCCTCAGTCCCTCTAGCACAGCACTGTGCCAGAGAAGTATGATGCAGTCCACACATGCAATTCAAAATTGTAACAACATAACTTATTAAACTAAATATATCTAACAGCATTTTCATTTCAACATATAATCGATGTAGAAAATGATTGAGTTCTCTTATACTCAGTTTCAAAGACTTGCACTAAATCGTTGGAATCTAGTGTGTATTTCATACTTCCAGTGTGTCTCCATTCAGATTGACAGCATTTCAAGAACTCCCTTGACACCCATGGCTCAAAACTCCAAAACCAAACTCAGTGCCAGTGAGTGGATTCTGACCCATGGCTACTCCATAGGACTGAGTAGAACTGCCTTGTGGGTTTCAGACATGTACATCTTCATGGGAGTACAAAGCCTCACCTTTCTCCCTCGGAGCCACTGGTAGCATTGAACTGCTGACCTTGCCAATAGGGTGGCTGCGTTATTGGATGGTACCACTCTGACAGTTTTTGCTCCTGGGACTCAGGACTTGAGCACTGCTGTGACCCAAGCGTTGCTAGTTCTGAGAGCAGGCTGTACCTTCCAGGAATATTCATCCAGGACTTCTAAGGATGGTCTGCACAGCACTTTAGGAAGGAAGAAGGATTGGCATTGTGGTGGTATGTGCCATCTGACCTCCTTTTCTGTTTTTCATCGACAGGTGCCTCGTCTCCAGACATGGAGCCCAGCTATGGAGGCGGTCTCTTTGACATGGTAAAAGGAGGCGCAGGGAGGCTCTTTAGTAATCTGAAGGACAACTTGAAAGACACCCTCAAAGACACGTCTTCTAGAGTTATACAATCTGTTGCCAGGTATGTTCTGTCTTCATAATTAAGGTGAAACATCTGGTTACCTTCAGCCACGTGTCTGGCTCCAAGTGATAAAATTACATGGAAGCTATGACCGTGCATCTGGTGGCTTCAGCATGTCATCAAAGCCATAAAGTTGGAACCTTTAAAAGCTACAAGTACAGCAAGGAGAACTAAAAACCCAAAGAGACCAAAAAAACCCCCCAAAACCCACTGCCTTCAAGTCACTTCTGACTCATAGCAACCCTATGTAGGGCTTAGAGACTGTAACTTTGTGTAGGAGCAGAGAGCTGCATCTTTCTCCCTCACAGTGATTGGTAGGTATGAATCACTGACCATGATCTGGTTAGCCACCCAAAGCTTACCAGCAGCACCTCCACTCAACCCTTGGTAAATTGGAGTGTAGTGGTTGCCATCACTGGCTCTACAATCATACATCCTGGATTGTAATCTGATACCCGCAAGTCAAAATCAATATGAGGACACACAAGAACGACAACAGGGTGATGCCTACTTTTATTAACCAAGCTCATTCGCCCCTCTGAGCTTTCCTTTCATTCTCTGATAAAGATTTGTCTCTTTTGACAGTTGTAAGGGCTAAGTGAAACAACAAACAATCAAGCAGAAGAAGCCATCCCAATGAATTGTTTCATATCCTACTACTCTTTTGACATTTCTTTAAGAGAAGGCAACCTCTCTCCCCTTATACTACATGAAAATTCTGGCAAACAAGCCATATGAGTTCATTATTATAGGTATTAGGAAATTCTAGGTAATTTTTTTAGCAATCTTGAGTCAAAAATCCAATGTCAAGCCCCATGTATCAATCCACGTTTCAATCTTTACTGGAAGGGGAAATGATCCCTTACCTTCAGTTGCCATCTAGGTCTGGTAGGGAGCAAGAGGGTGTCCCTCGTTCTTTCTCATTCACTTCTTCCTCTGCTCCTTTGCTGCTCACACTTCTGGGAGATTGCTATGTAGATAGAGAGAATGGAAAGATGTGTTAATAAATAAGCAAAATTTTCTATTCTGAGAGTTGGTCTTGTTTCTGAAGCAACATCTAAAGAGGACATTGGAATATACCCGGGGGGGTGGGGGGGTGGAGGGGGTGGGCGGGGGTGGAGGGTTTGCCGTTCTAAGGAGGAGGGCTGACCTTTTCTCTCAGGGGAGTCAAATATGCCTCATGAGCACAGGTGTCATGGGTCCATGAGCACGGGTGTCATGTGTCCGTGAGCACAGGTGTCATGGGTCACAATGTACAGGGGATAACTTTTGACATATTTGGATCATGATAATGAATGCCCTTCTCTGCCTTTTTTTGTTTGTTTGTTTTAGCTACACGAAGGGAGATTTAGACTTTACTTATGTTACCTCAAGAATTATTGGTAAGTTTCTCATATTTATTAAATAATTATTTACATTGATGCTCATAGTGACAGCAGACCCACTCAACCCTTTCTTTCTTTCTGTGACCCCTCCTAGTGATGTCCTTTCCTCTGGATAATGTTGACATAGGATTCAGGAATCAGGTTGATGACATTCGAAGCTTTTTGGATTCCAGACATCTTGACCACTACACAGTGTACAATCTGTCACCCAAGTCTTACCGGACTGCCAAGTTTCACAGCAGGGTAAGGAAGTTAAGGCCTTTGATTCCAGTTTTGAAGACCTCACAGGGCATTTTCAAACTTAAGAGTTATCTCTAAAACCTTAGGGACATGAAGCTAAAACGCTATAAACTCTGGACACTTCTATCCACATAATATTTACTAGGCTGGTTTGCCTTGAAGATATATTCAGCAAAGTGTGTCTCAATAAAGTGTGACAACACTAATTTGGGGCTACAATCCTTTGTGAGGCACAGCTCATATCGCCTGTGACATTCAAGTGAGAGGCTGAACTGCTAGGCACGACACGTGGCTGCTCTTTTGTGCATCACTAGTACGCCTTTGTAGCTGTTACTGTGGTGAGCTCTCCTCAGGTCAGCTCTGGACTTGAGAAGACTATATGCCCAGTGGAAGGAGATGATGCCTGCGCCGGCACCTTCCCCAGGATGCACTGCAGATCAGACCACTGTGATCCATGAGGTTTTCCTTGGCGAATGTTTGGAAGCGAATATCCAGGCCCTTCTTCCTAGTCTGTGTTGAGTCTGGAAGCACCGCTATCTTAGTCGGTTCAGCACCATAGCAACTTGCAAGACTCTCCTGCATATGAGGGTGGGGGTGGAGGGGACTGACTGCACATGCCATGCTTTGGCTAGGAATTGAACCAAGGTCTGTTACATAGAAGGTGGGAAAATGTTACCACTAAATCACCAGGGCTCTTCCTTATTGTTAGTTGAGCATCAAGGTGTAGCTAAATCTATAGGTGATATACATAAATCAGTACAGACACACATTGCCAGTGTTAGTGGAAATAATATTTTGGACATTCAGTAAAAGTGCTATGATAATTATTTCTTTTGTAAGAATTAATGCCAAACTAGCTCTTGTGGCATAGCTTACAAATTGGGCTGAGATCTGCCAGGCCCACAGTCCAAAAGCACTATACGCTCTGCTGGAGAAAGATGGGGCTTTCTACTCCCGGAGACGGTGATAGCGCGGGAACTCACAGGGTCACTGTGAGCCGGCGTTGACTCGATGGCGTGAGTTTGGGTTGCGTCCCAAGGAGTTGGAGATTGAAAAAGCCCCGAAAGCCCAACTCTTATAAGATGATAGTGGGCTCCATTTTCCCATCACTCTTCCCACTTCTCTTTATCTCTGCATTCTGCAAACCGCTGTGTCCCACAGAACTCATGAAAGTTTGCACATGTCTCATGCAATGGTTCAGTCCCAAATCCTAAGGTCAGGCATGAGTAAGCCAGATGCTAGGCCGGAGGACATGCCCCATTCCTGATTCTTGCCGGTGATGAGACCATACCCCCTGCTGCTCAGTGGGCACATTTTGTATGCATCAGGATGGCATTGCAGGGAATCCTGTTCACAGTTACTTACAGTCGAATCCTATCAGTGTCTTTCCCCACCATCTTATCAGACCCATGCAGAGAAAAGTTGTTTAGTGGGAGTTACATGGTATAATCAAATTCCCCCCAAATATTCTGTATCTTTTTTATGCATATATTACCCTGGGCTTCTTGGCAAGATGTTCCAGGAGGCATTGGCCGACTACTAATCTTAATTAGCCAGGCCTTTTCCCAGGCCACTCCAGAAACAGTTTTCTTTCTCCTCTCAGCTGTAACATATAATTCCTTAAATCCATTATAGGTAACAGTAACCAAGAGAAGCATTAATCAAAGAGTGTGGCCCCATTTCCACCCTCTGCTAAAGTGAGAACCTGAAGCTCATCCTATTCCTGTGTGTTAGCAGATAATGCCCTAAAAAATGGGATGATAACCATAGGTGTATGGAATCCAGAAATATAATATTCCACGTAAGGGATTATGGCTGGAAGGGCCAAGTAAATTGAGTATAACTCAAGTGCCTTTTTTATTTAAAAAACAACCCTCAAACTCACGACATTGAATCGATTCCGACTCATTGAGACCCTACAGAAGAGAGTAGGGTTGTTGCTGTGAGTTTCCAAGCCTGTAGATCATTTTTCCAACAGCTTTATTGGCACATAAGTTACGTATCATACAATTCAACAGTCCAAATCATTAAATCATATCAAGAAAAATTTACAATCATTACCACATCAATTTTAGAACATTTCCGCCCCTGCCCCGTACTTAAATGACCTGTAAAATGAGTTGTACAATCACAATCAGTTCTAGTGTTCCCTACCTCTCCCACCTTCATTATTTACTCCCAATTTTCCTTACCCTCCCTTTCACTCACCCCCTACCCTTACCTCCCCTATAAACCCTTGTGTCAGTTAGTATCACTGTGCATCCACTCCTTCTGTGCATCACAAACTGAGAGGCTCAACAGAAACAATAAAAAACAAAATCAAAATAAGGTAGTAAGGATAAAAGAATAATAATATAAAGACAAAAATATAAATAATGTGTAAGAGAGAAAAGACCCCCATCAAATTTTAAAAGGCTGGGAAGAAATTTCTGTCATGGAACCAGTAAGAGATATTTACACCCAGAACAAATTCAGGTCGTGTCTGTTGGGAGGTCAACTGCCGAGTATCGAGTTCGATCCAGCACACACACAAAGAAATTAAAGGGGGAAAAGTGAGCTACCAGGAGGAAAGCAGAAACCCGCATGTATAAAGAAGTACAGCATTGCCAGTCACCCACTGGGGTATCCGTCGACTGCACTGTTATCATCGTATTTCCCCAGGACCCAGCACTTCAGACACTGTCAGTGTGAGGAGTCTCTACGAGTACCATTCCACCTCGAGCCTCAACTCACAAGTTTTTGCCCTGCACAGTTTGTTCTCTCCTTCGATTGGGCACTGTTGACCCCCTAGTAGGGGGATAGATGCCATGGGGGACCTTCCTGCATCAGTTCTTCTAAGTGCAGATCCCTGCTCAACAGATCACAGCCTGTGTGTCACTGCAGGGTGGACATTGAGGTACTACATATTTGATGATGGTGGGTCCCTTTCCATTGGGCACCCACTGAGCCGGGGTTTTCCCCCAAGGTCCAGTAACTGCCACTTCCACATTCCTGGAGCGGCCACTCTCTGCTTCCTCTCCCATACAAGTACCCCAGTCCTCAGTCCAAGGGTGCAGGCCGCTTCCAGGCAGAGTTCAGTGCACTCAGCGGGGCCTCTATGGGAAGTCCTTCTGGTGAACCCCTGCATGATGCCAAGCTGCCTGCCAAGTCCGCTTCCATGGGCCTCCACAGGGTAGATGGTCCCTTCTCCTCGTAAGACTGTAAATCTTTAAGGCAGCAGAGACCCTCATTTGTCTCCCAAGGCTGCTGAGTTTGTCCCTTTGACCTTGAGGTTAGCAGCCCAACGCAAGACCCCACTGTGTCACCAGAGCGCCTTGCCTCTCTCGTCAGTAGTGTTCATCCTGTAGGTTTCCTGTTACAACTACTACTACTAGTTACTACTCTACTACTATTACTACTTTACTAGTGGGAACAGCATCCAATACAAGGGGGCGTCAAAAAGTTCATGGAAAAGTTCCATGATCTTTCAGTTCCAGTTGACTGGGAACTTTCTGAAGCCTTCTCTTGTTTGTAGAGCATTTACATTGTGGCAAGAACTTTATATACAGCATCTGATTTAATTCTCTCATCAGTTCCCTAAAGTAGGTGAAGAAAAGGAGGCACAGACCGATAAGGTAACTTGCCCGCGACCACACAACTATTAAGACTTGTGTTGTTACCGCTGCCCTAGGCTGAAAGTGTTATTGAAGAGGCTGGAGTACCACGTGGTGGAGCTTTCTGTGCTAGACAGAGAACGCGTTATTCCTGGTTTCAGGCTGGCTGTGGAACTATGAGAAACAGTCAGGTTTGAATCTGAGTTGAGTCTGATGTTTCTGGTCACAAAATTATTGATTTATTCACAGAAGTAAGACTTTTTCTCTCCCAAGAGAATCTTCAATAATAGACATCCAAGTCTATAAAAATATAGAAAGTTCTACAAAGAGACCCTTTAAATTAAAAGTGAAACTTGCTTTCAAATATGAATCTGGTAGTAGGTGCCCATGCCTAGTGTCTAGGATCTCAGTTTAATGCCTTGGATACCGGACTACATTTTGCTTTAAACCCTAGTTGCCACTGATAATCCCTGGGCATCATTTTCCTTATCTGTATCGACCACAGGAAGGTTGTTCTCTGTGCTTTCCAGGACCCCTTCACACTCTAATGCTCTGTGTAATATGTCTTCTGTGGTTCCTTCAGAGCGTTCCCCAAAAGGCAAGATGTACCCAGTGGTTCTCAAATTTTAGTGTTCATCAGAATCCCTTGGGGAGTTTGTTAAAGATGGATTGTTAGGTTCCTGCCCCAAGGTCTCTGATTCAGTAGGACAACGGTGGGGCAAGAAGTGACCAAGCTTCCAGGTGCTGCTGCTGCTGCCCCCCAGGGGACCATCCTTTGGGAATGGATGTAAATCTTCTGGATCCATTTGGTCTAAATTGCTGTTGCGATGAAGCTGTTAAATGCAGCTCTTTAAACCCTCCTGTAATAAGCTATCTGACTCCCATTCCATCCATTACCTAATTCAGAGCAAGCGAATTAATATCAAACAGAAACCTGGCAGGTATTGTGTGTCTAAGTAGTATACAACTTCTTTTGAATTGATTTTTCTTGTGTGAAGACTCAGTCAATTTTCATAAATGCAGGATCAGGGAATATTCTGCGTAATATTTCATAGAAATCTTAATTGATTTTGAAAGAGCTACGATAGTCTGGAACATTTCCCCCTAACACTGAATACGAATGTAATACCGTGAGAGACGCAGTCCCACACATGGATAACAAAGGTAATCCCTGCCCTGTGGCATATTGCTCTTTGTTTTTGCCCTTCCTGCCCTTAGTGATATGTGTTATGAGGGATATGAGGACTGCAAGGAGTTTGTGGGATATGCCATTATCTTTACATTCTATCTTTGCAAGAACTTTTTTACAAGGTTGCAGCCAGTGATTTGCTGATGTTATCATTCTCAGATGTAATGTCTTCAGCCCCAAAAGATAAAGATCAGATTTATAAATGTTCTGATAATTAAAGG